TCCACGATTTATGTGATATATAATATAATTATATCTCACACGTTTCACACACGGCCGTCTGATCTCAAACTCGGCAGAGCCTGTAGTACAGTAACCAAACTGCTGATAAACATACTTATATATCCATTAAATACACACACATCATTGACAAATCACACCCAGACACAGAACCAATGACCGTGCTCACATCACACAATATTTGTCCTGGGTGGGAATCGAACCCACGACCGGCTTAGCAGTCAGGGTCAGGTCAGATACGCAAGGCCTTGGAGAATAGCACTTCGGATTCTAACAGGAGGGAGGGACTGGAAGGGCGGTGAAGCACTTATGATTCTTGAAGTCAATAGTCGACGGTAGTCACATAATGCTCGTTTGCCCGCCTTTACATACAAGCAGTCAGTTGTAGAAAGAAGGTTTTACACCTAAAATGAAATAAAAGGTACTAACAATGGTAACACTACTGATAATATTTGATTGCACGGATGGTTTAAGCGGTCACCTCGACGCTTCCTACTGCGCTGAGTGTTGTGGGTTCGATGTCCACATGGGACAACACTTTCACCCACAAATTGTTGTTCTGAGTCTGGGTGTCCTTTGTATCCGTTTTGTGTATGTTTGTAAAGTCCCCCACGACACACGATTTATTTCTAGTTCGGGAGTTGTCTTTTAAAAATAATAATAATAATATATCTTTCTCACCTAAAGAGGCAGCTGATGACAACTTAAGTTAATGTCAAACTTTATTAACTCATATACACAAGGCTCAATACAATTTTCGTACCTCCTTACATGCTCACAATACACATCACAGACGGGTGTGATATGTCGGTTATAACGTTCTATACAAAAATATTTGAATCGTTGACTCACTTTGGTTCAAGGTAAACATGATCGGTAGTAACGTTTGAATATATTTGTAAAGAAAACCGGTATCATAACAAAGATTATAAATACTTCTAGCAACTATCGTTACCTCACAATAAAAATAGCATGATGTATATGCGATTTTCGCCTCTATAGAAGAAGCAGTGACCCGAATAGGATCCACAAGGTCAAACCATTGTTATTTCAGAAAATGGGCCTCTTTCAAAGGCCGCTAGGTTGACATTTGTGAGGTAATCTGTGTTATAATTGCCACGCCTCGAGTAGTACTATCTGAACCGACTCATTTGTACGAACTATTTTTTTTTATCGTCTGTGTACTAACGAAACATGCACACATATCTTATATGTAAAACACATTCATATGTTCTTGAAACGTTTATCATCTTCATACAAGAACTCTGTTTACTGTCTATAAATAAAGTTTCGTCATTTCATTCAAATGTAGTAAATTGTTTTTATAATTTAGAGTGTCGTGGGTTCGATTCCCACCTTGTTCTGAGTCATCGTGTAATTTATCTATTATATGTATGTATTTAGCAATATATAAGCATGTTTATCAGTAGAAAGTCCTGCCTAATTGATTTCATCAGACGGACGTGTGTGTCAGATGTGTAAAGTTTTCAATAAATTTATATTTAAAAAAAAAAAAGCGGTACGGTTGTCAATAGGAAAAAGCACTCCACGCTTCTTTTTCAAATTTATTAAAATTTATTTTCAATTTTTTAGTTTGGTTTTCTATAAAAAGAGTGTTTTTTTTTTTCGTTTTTCTTTTTAATTAGTGTATTCTCACGACCGAATTCTGATCGTTTAAAGTCACTCAAAATCACGCCCAAAGGAGTCGGTTACAAACAAACATACAAACATACAAGTGAAGCTAATATAAAGCCTGTAAAAATATACAATCTAGGTGAAATAACAATACACTAAGGTTTTTACACGTTTCTATAGTTCCTAATAGGACTGATACACAATGTCGAAGCTGGTAAACAAAGCTATAAATGACTGAACTAATAATTTATAGCTATGATGTAACGCATGGCGTCATCTGTCAATTTTGAATTGATCACCATTATCTTCATCTTCTCGAATGTTTAAATGATCTAGAAATCCAATTGAATCCACTATATCATATCATTATACTGTAGTCTCTATGAAAATAGTCTCATTCGTTCTATCATTTTCAAAATCTATTCACTATTATAAAGGTGTTCAAATACTTCTACTTCTACTTCAAGTACTTCCAATTCTTTGTAGGTATTCATATTACCGTCTTCTTTAAATAATTACTATAGTTGTTGTGCGGTACGAATATCTTAGAGATCTCTGCTGTTTCAAATTCATGGAAGTGTAAATATCGTTTATACTATGAACAATAGATGAAAATGAATGTCATTAATCTGTCATTATAAATAAAGTTTATTTTGGCCCGCACAGTCGCAAAGGACGATAATGCGAACGATGTTGTTTTGGAAAATAACCGCGCCATTTAATACTAAATGACCTCGCATAAAAACTAGAATGCTGTGTTTTCTTTCATCTTATTTGTCGTATTCTTTATTGCAAAGAGGATTTCGTGAATGAGGTCTTATTACTTTTTTATTCGATTACTTAATTTATGTAGGTAATATTTGAATTATGTTCAAATATTACATAAATTAAGTAATCGAATAAAGTTAACAAAAAAATACTTAAAAATAAAGTCTGTGGCAGGTTAAGTCTTAGGTTAGAGTAGGTAGTTATGAAATTCCCAATTGAAAAAATGGCCAGCCGCGAGGAGGCGGCGTCCGCGTGTGCCGGACGTCGCCTAAAGAGAGGAAAAAAAAAAAAAAAATTTGAGACGGAGCCCGCAACAGGAGTTTCCAAATTTAAATATATATAAAGGCATTTGTAAAACAAGTTTACATCGTAATTTTTCTAAATAAAAGAGTTTTTAATTTTTCACGATTGTTCTGCTTAATTAATTAAGCTTCTCCACGATTGAAGATCCACTAACAAAAAGAAAAATTTAAGAACACCTCATGAAAGGAAGTATGATTGTAGTTAGAGGCCGACACCAAAAGCAATGAAATCTCATGCGAATAAAATCTCATATTCGTTAAGAATATTCTAGTACGAGTATCATCGGTAAGTATACAGATTTCACACGGCATTTTCCTTCAATGTTTCTAGTTATATTTTTTCAACATGTACTCTGTATCACAATAAGTTAAATAGTTTTATTCATATAAGTAACAAATTAACATACAACTTAAAATTATTAATACAAATAGAATAGACTCATCGTTCATTTGTTTACTACGATTTTACGCCTTAACTATTCAACCGATCACCAAGGAATTTTCAGAGTCAGAGGTACTGAGTGGGGCATAACTTGCTTTTAGTACCGTGATAATAATGTCTTAAGGGATAAAAAATAACTTTGATAACCTAAATTACTGAACAAAGCTAAAAAAGGTTACGTATAGGGTATCGATAATCCAGAAAAAGGCCTGTTCTCGAGAGATGGAAAACATCTAAATCGCGGACAAAAACTAATACTAAAATAACCATTAGTATTAACTATTACTATATTTAGTACAGTAAATAGTACAGTCATATTCATGATGGAATCTGCCAATGAAAAATAATTACGAAGAACATACCATGCCAGCTTGGAGTTGTTTAAAAAATAGAAGCACTGTTTTGATTACAGAAATTTTATTTTGCACATTGTCTATATATCCGGGTTGATAACATGACATAGAAACAGTGCTATTTGTATCGTAAGCATTCAATCTAGAATCTGTACAATCAATGACGATAAAATGTTAAAAATTTGAGATTTAAGATGAAAATGAAATGAGAGCCATAGTAATTAGGGCACTTCAATCGTACATTACTAATGTTAGGGTATTATTTTTCCCGTTCTTAAATATAATTATTTCGTTTAATTCTTACATGCATAAATAATAATAATACATAAATAAATAATAATAATGTGATGTACATAAATAAATAATAATAATACCTGTCAAATACAGGTATTATGTATATGTTGCCGAAAATGACGTAAATTACAGGTGACGCATCACAGAACCACTGACTCTTCTTCAAATACGCTGTTGGAATGACTCCCCATTAGTGGTTACGAGATTGTTTTCTCAGTATTTTACTATATTATAACCAAACAGTATCATGTGAACTTTGAAAATCCTACAAAAAATATATCGGCGGTCTGATCTGCTGTCCGCCCGCAAGGTACATAGATAGTTACAATTTACACTAAGCTTAAAAAAAGTATTCCAAAAAGCTGAAAACCATAGTATTATTATAACTTTAATTCATACAGCTATAACTAATACTTATTACATAGTAATGATTCCATCAATTATGTAAAAAAATGACCTCTAAAATTAGTTTGGACCATTTAAAGGTCAATCTCATAAACATCCAGATAAAGAAAACAAAATAATGTAGAGCCATTAGAATAGTTTCGAAAAGATAATATTAATGCTAATAGCAAGAAAACTAAACTAATACAAAAGAATACACAGTAGTTTTTTTTTCCAATTCATTTGCAACGATGGAAATTGTAGTTTGTACAGAAAGGAATATGCCTGAAAATATCTATAGTTGACCTAGTTTGTTACTGCTGTGTGTATGCATAAGTTTGTAGACATCCAATTAGTCCTGTCTAGTAGAGAAAAGTAAAATTTAGGAGAATAATTTTCTGGTAAAATGTAAAAAAAAGTGTTAAAACTTAAAACTTGTGATTAAAATACACATAAAACTACGAATGTAGAACTCATTACATCTATTATTTGACGATTATTCTGTTTATTATTTTTTATAAAAGTAATTGCGATAGTAATGTATTTTAAAATAATAAAGTATTATGTATTTGAAATTAATAAAGTTGCAATTAAATAATTAAATTTAGTGTTATTACTGAATAACTTACAACTATCAATTTGTATTTTAATCAACATATTTAAAGTAAAAAACTTTCTACTGATAAATAATCTCTATTACTTTCAAGTGCTTTATGCATATAAGATAAGATACGATAGTAAATTGATAAATTAATAAAGTACAATAGCGTCCAAAAGTGTTATTATTAATTTAAATATACGCACCAATTTCGAATACAGCCAATAAGACAACGAAGCTTAATGCGGTGAATCCTTGACGAGCCATTTTTAAATATTGTGATTATACCACGGTTTATACGACTGAGCTCCGACCACAGATGAGCGATACTGAGGCGTTGAACGCCGCACTCCCGCCAGCACGACGCCGAGCAACGCATTTACACGTAATGTAGAGAAAACAACTTTTAGATGAAATTTAGGATATTCCTCCATTCCTTACTATTAATCTTGTTCCTAAAATGAACTAAGGAGTCCTCATCTTTAAATCACTACTTAATTATATCAAGAAACTTTTAAATATAAACGTTTTTATTACGTCAAAAATGCTAATTTATATGTATAGTAATCTTGGAAATTGCAGAATATTGCCGAGCTATTAAAAAAATTACTTTCGAAGTTAAACCTATTTTCTAATGTGTCCTTTTCGATTACAGCCAATCTAGGTCTTCTGGGCATTACCGTGACGGTAAGACCTAGTAAGAAAGACCTAGATTGTACAATAAACAGTTTCTTAGAAATCTGTAATGATTTCCAAGGTATGGATAGCCATACCTTGGAAATCATTCCATTTCAATCAAATCATTCATCAATGATTTGGAAATCATTCCATTCAATCATTCCATCGCCAGCTATTTGGAGCTAAGTATAGACTTAGCTCCAAATAGCTGGTTTATCTCTATACAGCACAAGTTCCAACTTTGATGGAGTATTGCAGCCAACTTCGGCATTTGACTTACCGACATACCAAATTGACGCAACGAACTCTGTGAATACGGCTCTAGCCGAAAAGCCTTTTATGTTAACTATCGGATCGTCGTAAAGCAGCCTACTTATCGGTTCTCTTTAGAATTATTTTTGGTCAGTGCCGACAATAGGTCTCTCCGAAATAATACTCACTAATCCCTTATCAAACTTTCTATATCGAAGTATCAAGCTAATATAATCATTCTAAATAAAACTAAAGACCTTAAAAGTAATGTTTTGGTTCGCGTCGCCAAATCTGCAATATCTGGTCTATTTCTCTATGTAGCAGATAAATAAACTCATACATAGATCCTAAAGCGTTCAGGAGTAGAGTGAATCGTGCTCACTTAAATAGGCGTGTATTATCTTTGCTTACATCGTCACTTTCCATCAGGTGAGTTGAAAATCAAACGTTTATTTCAGTACCTAATAAAATATTTATACCAATATGAACTGATTTATTTAAAATGTTCTAGAAAACTGTGATTGGCTGTAGTAAATAGATAGGTAACGATATTCACTATATAAATTTTGGAAGGCTAATTCCATGTGGCAGGAAACTATTATGACTATTTTCAACTAGTTTCGCTTATCGTAGAATCAGATTGTAAAACATTTCTGTTATACAAAAATAATGTTATTCAATGAAAAAAATAGGCTTTATTTTAGATACTTTTCCTATATTACAATTTAGATTAAACAATACACGTTATTGTTCGTATTGCGCGGTTCGAATTATCAGATGAATGATAATGAAACTCAACTGCAAAAAAAAACATTCAGATTTGAAAAAAAAAAGATTTTTAAGCACAAATTTAAAAATTTCGTGATAGAGAACTTTTGTGCTAAGGCTTAGAGACTATAAGGTGTTTACACAATAATAATATTATATTAATAACTACCTATAAATTTATTGGGTGTCCAGGAAAATCATTAGTACTGAGAAACTTATACTTTAATTGACTCGTTAGTATTGGTCATACCTTGTTAGTCACTTAATTATTGTTTACCTCTAGGTTTGTGTGATTCAGAATGGTTTATATTATTTAATCCTATAACTTGTGCGTAATTGGATTACGTGTTAAAGCCATATTGTTTAATTAATTACACTTAATGTTTTAAACATTTATTTCATTATAAAATATATACTTTACACTTTCTGTTCATCAATTTCGGATCTGAGCAAAGCTTTTATTTTGGTTTATTCCCAGTAGTTCCATGAAGACAGTTCCACATGGTACTGATTCAAGGCGAATAAAATCGGTGTTGTTCTGAACGCCTGGTCACAGTAATCTCGGACTTGTAAGAAATATATATTCGTACTAAATCTTTGGGCAGGATATCAAACCATATAATCAAGGTTAACTGTGTACGTAAGTATAATGTTATTTCTTTATATGAACTCTTCGCAATTGTTACTTCTTTGTAGAGGAATCGGTAATTTCTATTTGTATGATATAAATTATACATATACGTATGGTCATATAAAAAAAGAAATCGAAAATTCTCAACACATCATTTTATTACTCACAAATACAAATGTGACTACGTTTGTTTATAACTCTTTCACTTATTAACTACTGAATCGATCATCATAAAATGCATACAGGTGCTCTTATACGCCCATGCACGTAATGTGCGTGTTTACCTTTCATAAATAAAGTTTAGATTAGTAGTGAACTTTATAAAGTCAATATTTTATTTTTTGTACATCTTCATGCACTTATGTACATCGGCGGACTTAATGCCCTGGGCATTCTCTACCAGCCAACCTTTAGGTGGTGTAGAAATCTTGTAGGGTAGGTGCACCGAGGTTACGATTGTATCAATGATTGTAAATAATTGTTTATCTAAAACTAAGCAAAATCTATAAATATTATGCATATAAATAATATTCATTGTTATAATTATGTTCTCTTAACCACGATTACTGCCCTTATTCAATCTTTAGCTTTAGTCATTCTTAATACTATTACAAATAAGAATATTGAGGATGGATGTATAAGAGATAATTTTATCATTTCTAAACATAAGCATTGCGTTTTGATGTCACCATTGTATGTGACAAAGCTTCATTTAAATAAATATAGTTTCATAATTTCTTTGACGACTGCACCAAGAAACATTTTACTCACGTGGAAACAAAACGACTTCTCTGAGTTTAGTTCTATCAGTTTAAAAGATTTTTTTGATGTGATGCACACGTGGACTCTATTTTAATTATACCTTGGTAGTTACGAGCAAAACCCATGAATATGCGAATAAACCTAAAAATAGTAATGTAGATAATCTTTATTTACTTAATATTTAAATACAGAAATCGTAAGACAAAGTAAGTTATTTGCGACCCAGTTATACAATAAAGCGTTTTTAAATACACGAGGAAGGACTATTCACATCTAGTTAGCATCGTGGGAGAGCTATGCTACGGCACATTTCTAGCTACCGGAGTGATACCGTGGTTAAACAATTCCTTTGTTGCGTTTCACCAAGTGAGTAAGGTTACCATTGCCCTTACATGCTCCCACCCTCTAACTTTAGGGGCAAGGGGGGCACTCAAGTAACTTTGCACTTTTGCCATATATACAAAAAACCAACTCAGAAGAAAGATATAAATATTTGTAATGAATAAACACAACTAGATATTTCAATCTATTTACTTTCAAATAAAAAAAATGCAAGTAAGCAGTAACATCAAATTGGTAAACACTAATGATACGAAGCTTATTCACTACAAATATTATATATTATTAGACAGGAAAAACAAAATCTATGTACATGTTTACAAGAATGAATAAGAAGGAAAATGAAAATGTAATAAAGGGTTGTAGGTAAATGTATGTACATTGAACGAACCATTACTAGTTCAAGTAGATTGAAGAAGCCTTGTAATATTAAGCAAAATAGTAAATTTCACGAGTTTTCTTTTGCTGTGTGACTCCGCTTGTATATTATTTATATGTTAAATGCGAAAGCGAAACTTAATCGTTTTAGTTAAGGTATAGTTTGTTAAGCTAAGCTTATAAATTTTCTTCAGTAATACAAAAATGACCTGGTTATAATTGCTTAACTTTGGCTAAAGTCTTCGTTAGTGTGAGAGTAAATTTATTTCTTTCGATTAAAGATTTTGAGTTCCTTTCAAACTAACGATAACTAACTAAGACAACATTTAAGTGATAATTATTAATTTATCACTGATATATAATACTGGTAATTATAGATTGGCAGTACCAGTGATTGCAGTTATGTTATGAAAATTGGTTCACGTTCAATAGTTATGTCCAGGGACTAGAAAAGGCGAGCATAAAGTGTTTTGTAATGGCAATCAAAATCTATATTGTAAATATAATTACACAAAAATTGCACGATTTTACAAAGTAGATGAAAAATAATGTGAAGAATAGAATAGAGTTATTTGTACATGAATAAAAACAGGCATCCACACGTGGGTACATTTACCTTTACTCGTATATATAATATGTGTGATAGATACAAATAAAATCTAATACTTAAGTTTACAAAGTAAAAATTAATTAATGATCTCCCATGTACCCCAGCGCCTCCTATGATATGCAATAAAAAAATATTTTTTGTTAGAAAGTTTTATATGTTTTTTGACAGTGCATGTCCCTTGCCCACCTGGTGTCTAGAGCCTCTGCTCCCCTTGCTATACTCCCGAGGCCAACACACACAATTCATAACAGCCAGATGGTTTTTACTTAACATAAAGCAGTTACAAACTACAAAAAATAATAATTGACGACTTTTTTGTACAGTAACTAGTAAATGGTGCTGTAAACCCTTGTTTCTCATCAAATTTCATGACTTTATGGCCATGGAAAGGCTTACATTTGACTGCATTGACGTAAAATCTTGATTAATAGTTTCAAGAGACCTCTATAAACGTTTTATTTGATAGAAGTGAAGAAAAATATATTATGCAGATATGGTAGGCAAAGGTGCCTACTGATACACAGTAGGCACCTTTGCCTACCATGTAAAGAATCATCATCAACAGCCTTTAATAGTCCACTGCTGGACATAAGCCTCTCCTTAGAAAGGAGAGGCTTAAGTCAAAGAAAAGAATATACAAAGTATACTATTGCAACTTATAATGATTTGTTTTCTGTATTTGCAAGTTACTTAAAAATACTGCAAAACGCGTATTTGGTCTCTGTTCCTCTCTTAAGGGTCGTAGTCTGATATTATAAAGCCTTCCTTTGTCGATAAATATATCCAATACAAGGTGATTTTTAGAATTTGATATTCGATAGTTCTAAAGATTAGCACGCACTTATAAAC